AAGGCTCAGCGGCCATGGCTCACGGGCCCAGCCGCTCCGCGGCATGTGGGATCTTCCCGGACCGGGGCACGAACCCGTGTCCCCTGCATCGGCAGGTGGACTCTCAACCACTGTGCCACCAGGGAAGCCCTATTTTGTAGTTTTTAGTTAAAAAAACTCTTGCACTTTACTTGTTAAGTTTATTCCTAAGTATTTTATTTTTGAAACTATTGTAAATGAAATTTTAAATTGTATTTTAAAATAAGAGTAGTCTTTGCATTTTTAAAGGTTATGTAGATCTGTAATATCATATAAAACTAGGACTTCAATCTGAGAATCATCTCACACATACTATCTTTTCAAAGGACACTAAACCTACTTACCACTTTGAACAGAAGTAGAAAGCTTTGCATGACCCAAAGGAAAGGATATTACTGAAGCAATATATGTCTATATACAAACATATTTATATATATGAATGTGTATACTAATATATTGAGAAACTGTATTTTGAGTTGCATTATCAAATTAATTGTGCAACATGTAGTCATTCATATGTGAATCGTATGATTCACAAAATATACCAAATTTTGACATTTTAAATACTCATGCTAATTAAGTGCACTTGTTAAAACTATTGACTATATGGAAATTAACGAGTAAACCTTTGAAAAGATGCCCAGTTTCACTGGAAATGTTTGCATGTACAATCTGCTGTTACATGAGTCAGATGAAGCGTTGGGTTTTTGAATACTGCAGTGGCAAACTAGTCACCAAAATGATTATAATACTATGCTTATTTATAGAGCAAGATGAAAAGAGCTAGTTAACGATGGTATGACTAGATATCAGTTATCTTTAAATGTTATATTTAAAATGTTCCCACATGTATAGTAATCATAACATTGAACATACCACTTAACATGTGGGAAAAACACTGTAATAGAGGTATTAAATTGAGCGAGAATTTTGTAGTGAATACTGGAAATGATTAATTATAGTGGGGCATTTAATTGGGAAATATTCTTGTAGTCCTTTTTTTTTCAGGAGTTATTAAAACTACACAGAAGAAAATTACTCTATAAAAAATAATGTCTTTAATTTATGAAGCATTACTCTAGGTTGATTGGTCTGGGAAGATTAAAGACGAATAAATGTAAGCACATTCACTCAGAAAGTTTTGGTTTTGTGGTTGCTGGTATATTTGTCTGCAGTAATAGTAGAATTTGACAGCAGAAGCCAGTTGATGGCTCACATTCTATGAAATGTACTGGATTGGAGCCTACAGAATGAATCACTATTGGTGAACATTATCAAGACAGGAATGGGCTATGGTTTTATCCCTAGAAGGTCTATCTGTATAACTACCATCCATTTGTTAGAACACATGTTTTAGACAGAAAACATCCTAATATCAGAATAATGCCAAAGGAGAGGAAGACACATGTTTTAAATGTATGGATATGGCTTCTCTTTTTACGCATTATGAAAGATGGTATTCTTTGTTAATATAGCAAAGCAAGAGAGCTGAATGATATTTGTTGATGCTTTGTAGCATACTTGTGAAAAATAGGAAGTTTAATGTACTCTCAAGTGGTAGTATTTTTTTTTTTTTTTTGCGTAACGTGGGCCTCTCACTGTTGTGGCCTCTCCCGTTGCGGAGCACAGGCTCTGGACGCACAGCCTCAGCGGCCATGGCTCACGGGCCCAGCCGCTCCGCAGCATGCGGGATCTTCCCGGACCGGGGCACGAACCCGTGTCCCCTGCATCGGCAGGCGGACTCTCAACCACTGCGCCACCAGGGAAGCCCGAGTAGTAGTATTTTTAATTTAGTAACATATCCAAAATAAATTATGTGTCTCAAATACTAATGTATTATAAGATCCTGACTCAAGTGTTCACTACTTGTTCTTCCTTGGGGTGGATATTGGTTGGTTCCCAGACTTCAACTATGACATCAAAACACAGTACAGTTATACATAAATAGATTCCTTGATGAAAATGTAGTCATGTATGTTTAACATGTTTACTGAAACATACATAAATTTTCTCCATTATATCAAGAAATGTAACACATATGGCTTGACTATACTGTTTTTACTAAAGAAAATTTACAACTGTTAAAAAATTGTGGTATTTTTCATTATCTTATAACTTTAATTTTTATTTATGAAAAACATTTTTCCACTAGTTCAGTATTCAGGAAACTGATCAAGAAAATGTAGTACCTAGCTTATAAATGATGAATATTTATCCTCCGTAATGAGGCCTATCAGATTTGGATATATTTCTTTGTTAATAAGTCTTATTTCCTTATAGAAAATAAAGTGTATTGAGAATTAAAGAATTAGACATGTGGGTAGACAAGCTGACCTTTAAGGTCTCTACCAAACTTGAAGTTTAATGTTTCTGAGATTTTTTTTTTCTGCCTTTTTTTTTTTAACGGTAACATTATAAATCTATAGAAGCCCCAAACAAAATGCAATTTTGGTTTTACAGTAATTAGCTTTGAAACATAACCTTCACAGAAAGTATTTTATTATCTTATATAAGAGTCCATTAGGGCATAAAATCAATATTTTAGCCACTCAAGTGGAGCATTTCATTTTTCTCAATATTTTTGAGAGAAGCCACTTTCAATTTAACTTTTTTTTCTTACCTAATGGAACCTTATACATAAATAAAATAACTTTTCTAAATCATTAAAACCTAATAGAAAATTAACAGGGTTATGATAGATTGCTTTTCCTTTGTGGTGAAGAGACAAGGTAGACCTAATAGTCTTGGGTGCCCTTAGGACACATGAAGTACCATCTACTTTCTCAAGGGAGGATATTTGAAATTAAACATGCATGAATTATCTACTCCACCTGGGGGAGATCTGATAGCCCTCAGCAAGTGTTGAACTTCGAGGCTACAATTCTCTGCCCTCCGCTATTCACCCCACATTCAAGAAAGGAAAGCATCCTTTAGCAATAGATCTATTTATGAGAACAATCTCAGTCACATAGTTCCCAAAAGGGAGGCAACCTTAAGAGTGATGATAGAATATTGCTGACACTAGACACTTTGGGGCATGTTTTTGGTATAAGACAGTCGCCACTACCTTCTCAGTTGATTCTCAGTAGACTGCTATACTGGTGGTGGTCACAGAATGGGTAAGTAAGCTTAATTTGAGCTGCATTAGTTTCCTATTGCTGTGTAACAAATAACTCCATATTTAGCAGCTTACGACAATAAAACACTTATCATCTCACACAGTTCCTGTAGATTGGACATTCAGAAGCAGCTCAGCTGGGTTGTTCTGGCTCAGGGTCTCGCATGAGGTTACGGTCAAGGTGTCAGCTGGGGCTGCAGTCATCTAAAGGCTTGACTGGAGCCAGACGATTCACTGTCTAGATGGCTCCCTCACATGCATGGCAAGCGGGTGCTGACTGTGGGCAAGAAGCCTCAGTTCCTTTCCATAGGGCTGCTTGAGAGCTCTCATGACAGTCTGGTTCTCTCCCAGGAGTGAGCAGTCCAAGAGAGACCAAGGCACAGGCTCAAGTGTCATTTATGACCTAGCCTCAGAAACCACATGCAGTCATTTCTGGAATATATTATTGTTTACATAATTCAGCCCTATTTAAAGTGGGAGAGGACTCCATGAGTGCATGGTTCCAGGAGGTAAAGTTATTGGGGGCCATCTTGGAGCCAGACTATCACAGCAAATGGTAATTTTTCTTTTGGGTTTTTATAGAGCTGGTCTTGGGAAAATAAGTTTTTTGTTTTATTTATTTTTTAAAAAAACATTCCTTTAGCTCTCCTCTCTGTGCCTCTTTGAGCTATACTTTATTTCTAGAAGCCAAGTTGACTCCTTCTTCCTCAGGGGTGCCCTTCCTGTCCTTCCTTGCTCACAAATTCAATAAATATTTGAGGACAAATTGTGTGTCAATCACTGTTTGTTCACATCAGTGAACAAAATCCTTCCATTCATAGAGCTTACCTTTTATATAGTAGTAGCTTTTCATAATGAGTTGTCTCCTATGATCCATAATTTCTGGTTTGTCCTGTTAGCATTCTGTGGGATCTGATGCTATTTCCAGGTGATAGTGTCAGAACTGATTTGACTTGTAGGATACCCAGCTGGTGTCCAAGGATTGCTTGGTGGTATGGGAAACCCCACTTCCCTTGCCCCCTCACGTTGGAATCGGGTCCAGAACCTTTAGTAAACAAATTTAAGGAAAGAGGTCAATGATTGGCAAAATTCCCTTAAAATAACAAGTTCGTTTTAATGGAGGTATTCTGTGATCTAATTCAAAAGAGTACGATGGAACTTTAAGGCCCCGAAGCAGAGAGAGATCTCAGCAGGGGAACTCGCTCATTTGTGCCAATTTCACTGCTTTAAGCCTACTTTTGTTCAATGGAAAACATAACCATCAAGCTATCTCACTCAGCACGGTCTTTTTCTACAATGTGAAAATGCAAGAGTGGGGGAATAAGTAAATTTTAAGCTTAAACAGGCAAAAACATTAATATGAGAAGTGTCAGAGATTAAAGTAGCTAATTTTGCCATTTCCTTTCAAAATTGACGCAGTGAGATTTGCATTTCCCCAGATATGGTGGAAAGACTTGGATCACCATTTCTCTGTGTGTTTATAGCCTAGCCAGTGTTTCAGGGATTCTGGCATTTATATCTGAGCTTAGCTCTAACACGTTTTTCCATGGGACTTATATTTTTTTCTGTTTTAAAACTGTTTGGGCCAATAAATCTTTCTCCAAATGTCAGATTGGTCAACACCAAGGAGGTAAATGGAACGTAATGACACTCATCAAGTTGATGATGTGAATGATTTATTGGACCCAATCATTTAGCACTTTCATAAAGTCAATATTAGGGAAAGAAACTCTGGGCTCTTATTATGGTAAACTGTACTGTCAGCATTCAGTGACTTATTACAAACCTGTGGCTAGGATTAGGATATTATAAATGGGGGACAAATGGAAGGCTCATTAATATTTTATACCCACAGGTGAAAGACATGCAGTGGGCCAATAGAGAACACACTCACCCGGCGTCTGTCTGCAGCCTGCCCTGTAAGCCCGGGGAGAGGAAGAAAACAGTGAAAGGAGTTGCTTGCTGCTGGCACTGCGAGCGCTGTGAAGGTTACAACTACCAGGTGGATGAGCTCTCCTGTGAACTCTGCCCTTTGGATCAGAGACCAAACATCAACCGCACAGGCTGTCAGCTCATCCCCATCATCAAACTGGAGTGGCATTCCCCCTGGGCTGTGGTGCCTGTGTTCGTTGCCATTTTGGGAATCATCGCCACCACCTTTGTGATCGTGACCTTTGTCCGCTATAACGACACACCTATTGTGAGGGCTTCGGGACGCGAACTCAGTTACGTGCTCCTAACGGGGATTTTTCTCTGTTATTCAATCACCTTTTTAATGATTGCAGCACCAGATACAATCATCTGCTCCTTCCGACGGATCTTCCTAGGACTCGGCATGTGTTTCAGCTATGCAGCCCTTCTTACCAAAACAAACCGAATCCACCGAATATTTGAGCAGGGGAAGAAATCTGTCACAGCGCCCAAGTTTATCAGTCCAGCATCCCAGCTGGTGATCACCTTCAGCCTGATCTCCATCCAGCTCCTGGGTGTGTGTGTCTGGTTTGTTGTGGACCCACCGCACATCATCATTGACTATGGAGAACAGCGGACTCTAGACCCGGAGAACGCCAGGGGAGTGCTCAAGTGTGACATCTCTGATCTCTCGCTCATTTGTTCACTAGGGTACAGTATCCTCTTGATGGTAACTTGTACTGTTTATGCCATTAAAACAAGAGGAGTTCCAGAGACTTTCAATGAAGCCAAACCTATTGGATTTACCATGTATACCACCTGCATCATTTGGTTAGCTTTCATCCCCATCTTTTTTGGTACAGCCCAGTCAGCAGAAAAGGTAAGTGGCAAGAAATGCATTGCCAACCCTTTTCCTGGATTTAACTTCTTCCTTTAGGATGCTTTCCCTTCTTTCTTTTTGGTTCACTTATATTCTCTCAAGAAGCTTCAGTGTTTTATATATATATTCAAGGTCACTTTGCTCTGAATATGTGTTGACTAAGGCTGATTTTCCATGAAAAACACTTTAATGTGTCCTCCTTGGCAAGGTGGAAGATTGACAGAGCTCACATCACTTTCTGGGTCCCTTTTCCCAGTTCTGTTATCGACTAACATAACTGTAGTTTTCCAAACGTTAAAAGAGGAAGGGAGAAAGGGCAGACATGATTCACAGGGCTGAGCTATTCCAGAGGTTTCTCAGTGCGTGACAAATGCCTCCTTTGCCGGTTCTAATGTTACGCTCAGAAAAAGCTATTCCTTAATAGCTGTTCCTTAATAATTATGATGGTTTTAGTCACAGAAGCAAACTGCAACAGCAAAAACTAAGTGGCTTAATTCAATCTGAACCATCGTACTACTTCTCTTTAGCTCCCATTCTTATTATTTTTCCATATGTGGAGGATGGTGGTGAGGGATGAAAGAAGAAGCAATGGGTGATTATATAATGCAGTTTATATTTTTTTAGAAGTTGAAGATCAATTGAATTTCCTGAAATAATTTTCTTTTGTTACTAATCTTCCATTAACTTCACCACACAAAACACTGCATGTAAAGAACATCTGTGTGTGAAAGGAAATACATGCTGAACTGGATGTATGTGCTTCTATGTATAGAAAAGCAGAGAACTAACGTTAACCATGACTTTCAAGGTTTGGGTGGTATGATGGAGACAACCAGTTTGAAAAACAAAGGCAAATGCTACCATTCTAAAGGGACAGCTCTGCAGCCCTAATGTGCATATGAGGAAGTTCTTCTCTCAGAGAAGAAGAACTTATTCCATCCTCCATCATCAGAAGTTGTGAGGAAGTCAAAACATCCGGGGAGGGGGGGAATTATATTCCCTAGGTTCTAACATTCCAAGTAAGGTCCCACATGACTCTTAAAATGCCAACTAATTCAGAGGAAAAAATACTCAACAAGGGCATGGAGAGCTCATTAGTATGAGCATTCATCCCTTACTCGATCAATGTGGTCTTCAACTTCGAAAGCCAAAAACGTACCTCAGCAAACCTGCTGCTGAAGAGAGCAAACTTGCCATGGGTTCCAGACCTGTGACCTTTCTTGACTTGAATGGCCTGATGAAAGTCCACGAATATTTTACGTAGGACCATGCTCATGGCGGGAAAATAAAGTAAGACAGTTTGGGACATGAAACTTAACCACTAGAAAACGTTATATCTTGACATACACAGATGGGAATTTATTAGGATCAACCTTGTAAATTTAACATAGGAAGGGATGTGTCGCTCAAAGTTTATTAGCTCTGTTTTGACATGGTTAGTTGGACTAGTCAGGGAAAAATATTGTTTTTCAGTGTCTAGAAATGTCCACATTATGTGAATTATTGATAACATCAACCTAACTGGTACTTGTATTTGTGTTTGAACCTAGAACTGTCTTTTTTAACATATTGTTTTATCTAGAGAGGGCCATAGGAAGTTTATTTCGTTTTCTTGTAGACAACAAATATTTAACCAAACAAAATCTCCTGAGTTCTGATATCTAACTCCCTTTTCTTTTGTTTTCTCTTCCTTTACATTTTATAAAAGACAGTCTACTCTTACTTTTCATGTTGTGACGTCAAGGATCTGGGGGAGCAAATATAAATGCTAATAAGATGTTATTTCTATTCAGGGAACTCTTTCAGTGACTCAATTTTTAGAAGAAATTTTTAGAATAAATAAAATCGTGGTCCTACATCAAGCTATTGGGCACCTTCATAGTAATGCAAACATGCATCATAGTAAGTTTTTTTTAAGGTAACTGAAAAAAAACCACAAATGACCATTGTCTCTCAGATAAGAACTCTGCAGCTGTCCCCTGAGGAGCAGTGATGGAGACAGTAAGAGTTTCAGGATGAAATGGACACATGAATAAGCCAGGGCTGGAGGCTGCCCAGTGCTGGGCCTGTGGGAGCTGTACATCCATCTGAAAACCTGGAGTGTATGTACATACTTATCGGTGTGGATCTATCAATGCCTCCAGAGAGATGACTGAATGCTAGCCAGAATTCTTTTTTCTTTTTTAGCTTTGTGCAATCAAAGTAAGTCAGAGAAACACACTGTAAGACAGATTTATAAAATATGTTAATTGGAATTTATTTGTATTCATGATATGATTGAATGTGGAAATGAGTGAAGAAATCAAGAAGGAACACTAATTCTAGGAATTTTCAGAACATTGGAAAGTGCTCAAATTATGTAGTTAGGCTTGGAGTTGCTGAATTTAGACAAGCTTTGCATCAAGAGCTATTATTTGATAAGTAGCTAAGATTTGCTACTGAAGTATTTTGTGTAATACACTTATGTGTCATCCTAACACTTCACGTTAAAATTTGCTTCCTGCTATTCTCTGTCAAAGTATCTTTAATTACTCAAAACAATACACAGAATGTTTGAGAGTGTTTATTTTTTCATGTTGCTAAAATTATTGACACAGATATTAAAAGTGAATACAACTTTTATATCTCTAAAGGCAGGCTTTCTCTAAGTTTTATTGACTTTGGAGGACCGAAGAGCTGGTCAGTTCTACATTCTCCTTTATAAGGCTCAGCCAGTTAACCCCACGTTATCAGCTTGAAGTGTGTGCAACAGTCAGGAAGCACACACACAGCCATTAATTCAGCAGATCCTTATTGAGCATTGTGTCCAGCATTGTGCTAATTACTGAACCATGTCAGTCAGTATCCCCGAGCCTTCCTTGTACAAAGGCACAGCCTGTCTCCCAGCTGATGCTGCCTGATGCCTGTCATCACCAGCAAGTGCCAGGTTCCAGGGCGGGAGAAGATCAGGCTCAAGGGCAGGGGGAGATGGTGAGGAGTCAGATGTGAGACGAGAAAGCGAAGCAAAGAACTGTGCATCCTGTAACTATGCATCAGTGACATAGAATTTATAACACGGAAGAGCAAAATTTCTTCCAGTATGCATTTAATTATGTTTCATGGAGTCATGTCTACAGGAAAAAAACCCATCTAGCCACACAGGTCTCCAAGAGAAGTAGGAATAAAAAGTAAAATTAGTTGAATAATTTAGACAGATGTTTTAGAAAACCTCTGAGTAAAATCAAGTTATAAAGGGACATTTGTAGCACTCATGAGGACAGACAACTCTCCAAAGTATGTCTCCATCCAATGATAAAACACCATTTAATTTTCCCACATTCTTTTTTTTCCAATTTCAAAATCAAGATGAATCATGTTTTTTCCTATAGATTTTAATGACATCATTTATTAGCTTTATATCTACTACGGCATTTTACTAAATCATAGTTTAAATGCACTTTCTTTTTTCCTATAAAAAGGTGGTGTGAAGGAAGGGCAGACACACTGCGGCACAGACAGGGTCCAACTCAAACTTTCATAATTGGGTTGAAAAGACAAAAAATTAAAATATAATTAATGTAATAGTCAGGAATAGAATCCTCAGGGATGGTTAGGGGCTGTTAGGATGGCAGAAATCTCTTAAATACGTATCTTACCATCTCTAATTGGGTTCATAAAGTCTAGATAATCAGACAAAGGTTATGACACTGCCAAGCTCCAAGGAGCACAGTGCTTCAACCAGAGCATAGGATGGAAACAAAACAAAACACCCTCAAAACGGCAAAGAAAATAAAACTCCAAACTGTCAAGCACCCCATATGTCCCAAACCAGCCTTTCTTCTTTCACCTTCTGGATAAGTCGTGTAGCCTCAATTTAGTAGCTTAAATAAAAAACCTGGAGTTATCTTAGACCCCTCCCTATACTCACACTCACCTCCTCTCACCTTCAAATGTCATCCTTTATCAGTTCATGGAGGGTAAGCCATGTTTGTCTGATATATATCTGAATGAATGCATCTCTTAACATAGAGACTTTCATGTAATATATTCTCAATAAATACCTATTGAATGAGTAAATAGAGTCCCTTGCACAATAATGACATATTATAATAATAAAAATGCTTATTATTTAAGTTAGAATATGGCATAATGGTAACCTTATATAGTCATCATATTGTGATCCCCATTGCGACTTTTTTTTTTCTGAAAAATAAGTTTTCTCCTTTGAATGATGGGCCAAATACATTTCTTTTTAAAAATGTTGTCAGTATCACTTATTCTGATATAGGACTGCTAAATATTTAAGGAGAAATATGAAAAGGAATTCTAATAGCTATCCTTAGTTCTGTCTAAAATACACAAAACACAAAGGAGAATTGATGCTGTTTTCCAGGTGCTTTGCCATGTCAAAAGTATCTCCCTTATTCTTTTACTCTGTCAATTATAAGGTGAATGAGTGGAGTAAGGAAGAGCATAAGCTCTGGAGTGGGAGGATGTGGGTTCAAATCCTGCAGCTCTGCTAAACTAGCTGAGAAAATTCAGTTAAGAGGCTAAATTTGTGCAGATAGAAATACATTTCCTGGGGAATGCAAACTCAGATATAAAGCAGCATAAAGCATTTGCCTGCCATCTGTGCCCAGCCCTATTCACAAACTAAAGCAGACTTGAGTTCATACCATCTAGGAAAGGGCAGGAAGATGACTGACTTAAAAAATCCTCTCGTCTCATTATGGTGTATTTTTGTATTAATAGATACCTCATGGTAGTTTTGCTGAGAGTTATATGCTATGAGTCATGAGGCATGTTTAGCACATAATAGGCAATCAATAGATACTGTCTGTTATTACAATTAGGCTGTGTTTCACGCGGGCAGGGATCTTATTTTATTTTGCTCACCATCATCTCCTTGACACCTAGCATAAAACCGTGCCCAGAATGGGTTCTCCAAAAATATTTCTTTAATGATTGAATGCATTTAAAATTATCCAGATAATTGCATCAATTTCTCCGGCTGTCTGTGG